GTGTATCATGATGGTATGAACATACCAATATGGTAAGAAGGTTGAATACATAATAATAGGAGTATACTAACTGTCATTTACGACTTTCATAATTGTTTACTACAAGTTACCACCCACATACCATAGTGGTAAAGTATGGTAATTTTTTATCCAGTATTTTTTTTCACTAAGAAATTTATAGATCCAATAGATCACGGTGAACTCGTTCCTTCTGAGCAAACGTTTTCAAAAACGACTTAAAAACGAAGAAGTTACCATATGGTATGTAGTTGGTAAAAAAAAATTTATCGAAATATATTGAAAATTGATCTCATTTTGTAGAGCACAACGAACTCGTTCCATCTATGCAAAAAATTGAAATCCGAGTTAGAACGAAAAAAATAAGAGCCGTTAAGAAAACTAGGGAAAATAAAATGCCTTTAATTGACAACTCTTAGATCTGAATTTTCTGAACCCACTTAGATCTAAAGGTCCAGATTTAGTTACTCATAGGTCAGTAACCAATGGTTATTGACCATATTCTAAGCCCCAGGTAGTCCTCTGTTTATAGAAGTTGAAAACCCAGAATTTCCCTCTTATTTAATTAGAAAAATAATTACTCCCATAATTAAAACGCGTTCTGTTGAGATAATTAACTCAGATTATCTCCAGAATATTTCTTTTATTAATTATCATTCTTATTTTAGTATCTAAAAAGAATGCTGGATAATTAATTCAAAATAGCTTTCAAAGCTATTCATTCCCAACAAGAACATGTTCGTGGCTGTGGGGAAGGGCTATGAGACAACGGGGCGGCGGTACAGGATGGTGCCTCAGAGGGGCCAACCAGCCGTGCAAGGAAGGTCGACGTCAGGGTTGTGGATTACTGCCCTAAGTCGCCTTGCCCTGCCACCTTCCTGCTCTCTAACGACCCCTTCAATTCCATCTCTCGTCATCCTCGTGCCAATCGAATTCGCCCAGTATGTGTATACACATATTTATATATATGTTGTTATCTTTTCAATGTTTCGACACTACCACTCTGTTTGGGAAGAGGTGCAAAAGGTGGGGGGTGCAAATGTGGAGGTGCAAATGGTGTTTTCAATGAATTTGCACTTGTTTGGTTAAATTCCAACAGTATGAGGGGGGAGCAAGTTGGGGGTTTTTCTACTGTTTTGGTGTGCCCTCCGATTTGAGGTGCAAGGGAGAGAGAAGGGAGAAAGAAAAAAAGAAAAATGGAGGTGGGGCCTGAGAGGAGGAAGTTGTGCGGCTGAGGGGAAGGAAAGATATGAGAAATGGGAGAGAAGGTGGGGCCAAGTTGGGTGTGATATAGATTTTTTATGTAGTTTTTTAATTGAAATTATTTTTATATACAAATTTGCACCCTCCTACTTTTTTTACCAAACAACAATTTGCACCTAAATTTGCACCCTCCTTCATTTTGTTCCCCCCTCGAATTTGCACCTCAATTTGTACCCCTCGAATTTGCACCCCCCTCGTTGCCAAACAGAGCGTACTAGTGCGTGATCCGTCGTAGTTTTTTTTACGCGTTTGCCTTAATTATACTACTTCTCAATGTGTCTGCACGTGCAGGATATGACGATCGGTAGAGAGATGAATGCACTCATTTTACAGGAGCGGATTACAAGTATATATAGAGATACTTAATTTATAACTAATTGATGCTCGAAGAATGAGCATCAAGAGAGGATCAATTACTGTGTTTTTGGTCGATGGGGAACTTTTTGTAATACATAGTGAATAGAATAAGAATCAATCAATTGGAATCCATTTTTCTGATCCAATAAAATTGTCAGTCACGTGAATATATATCCTCATAGTAGTATGTGCCCAATCGGTTACTATATATTGTACTGTTATGTTTAACTTCGGAGTTCCTACAAAACTTCTGTCATTTTATTCAAAATGTGTGTCAATTAAGGTTGCTTTTATATTTATGATGAATCATAGATTTTTCTGGTACTTTGTCAATCTGAAATTTGACTTAGGTGTTATATTAAGAACATATTGTTGACTCTTGCCCATGCTATATGTACAAAAAAACTAAAAACACTAAAAAAATGGTACTACCAAGTTATCACGACACAATCCAACAGTGCTTCTAACACAGCCTTGTTAGTACGCCTAATAGATGTTTTTGTTAGCATCATAGCCAGTTTATCATAGCCACCTAGTTAAATTACGATGACCATGATTTTCACGTTATACTTTTTGTGAACCATCTTCGACAGATAATAATGATAATTTTCACACCATCGGAATCTCCCGTCAGAAATTGACATGTTCATAAGTCATAACTCAGTCACATAATCATCTATTTCCTCGTATAATTACTCTTATTAAGTGGTATATGGTCGATATATAATTTTACCTCTCTAAACAACTAGATTTTAATGGGATCAACTTGCACTACAAGCGAATGGTCCAACCCAACGGTTCTTTTTCAGGGGGGTAGAGTAACCGCGGCCAGGATTAATATCCCTTCACTTTTATCAGCAAATGATCCATCGGCTCTTATAACCGTAGATAGGCCCAACATGTAACCCGTGCAGCGATTGATCCAGCGGAACAAACAATTTTGAATTTTTACCGAAACTCAATTTTTCAACAAAATACCCCTCATTTTCATGAATTACACTCTGCCACCGCCTTTCTCTAAAGAAAGGAAACTAATGACATAATCCAAAGCCTAGAATCGAACCTGGTAACTGGTGATGACCAGGTTAAATCTCCACTAAATGCTCTGTAGCGCTAGACTAATCACTCTTTGTATAACATTTTCTAGCCTCTTACTAATTTAAATAAACAATCTTAACAAAAATCACAAATCAATAGATTGTGATTAGGAATATGTAATTTGAATACATATGGTTTGCATGTTATTCCTTTTCAATACACATAATCTGGATTATTCCTTTATTATGTAATAATTATTGGTGTAATTACGTTTTGCCAAAACTAATCATTAATATGAAACCACAAATCAATAGATTGTGTGTTTTATCCTATGTCAGAATTCTTTCAAATTATCAACCACCCAATTACCAAAATACATTTTCTAAAAAAAAACTAAAATTACTATCTTAATCACGATCAATAGAACGTGGTAAAATCACTTCATAAATCACTTAAAAATAATGGATCTACGTGGACTTTGATCCCGACTAATTCGGGTACGTAGGAACCAATAGGTTCGAGTCCAACTAATCTAAAAATATTTTTACGTTCATAGACATGAAAATTATCAAGTATCTACAACAATTAAAAATAATTCAATGTTTCGAATAAATACATAAACAAGCCAAATTATTAGAATACACCCAACCGTTTAAAACCTATCGATTTAAGTAGTACCAATTTTGGGAGTTGTGGTGTGTGAATCCACTTCCACACACGTAACCGTACTCCCGAACCCAAATCTCTAAAATTCCGCAGACCAAATCCCGATTCTGACCCTAAGGTTGGAACAGGGCAAAAAGGTGTTCGATCCACCACAAGTAAGGTCGATGGCGACTCCGATCAATACACGACGGACTCCCCGATCTCGAGGGGCGGTTACATGTTTTCACCAAAGCTCATTCGCTTGATAATGTTTCAAACAGTCGAAGTAGCGATACATGGGCCGGCCCGGATCGATATTTAAACATACTTGCCCTATATTGCACCCATCTAAAGCTTATACTTGGGCCTTATATGGGATTTTATTGTGATAGTCCGAGCGAGTCAACCATTACCACAAAAAGGAAACATGCTCGTACTTGAAATATTAGGAAAAAAACAATATGCTCTCATTAAGAACTCGCTTTGGAGATTCAATGACATGCCATTATTCGTTGGTTGCTACAGTCCGGAAAGCTGTCTGTCTACTAGTGAAGGACTCAGGTTACCTGGAATTCTTTATTCACGAACTATCATAAGAGGGAAGATGTGACTCCTTCAAGCTTATTAGAACTCGTCACGAGCATACATGAGCAATTATGTTGCTGCAGGTTTGTTGTTTCCTTGCTGCAGAAGGTCTCCTCACTGAGAGAAAGAGAGCCTTCTTAACCTTCTTCCTCGATCTTATCTCCAATTACTAGGTTTGACCCACTTTTTCAACATTATTATTGCGATTTTTGTTGGTAGCAGTAACCTCTGACAAAAGCCTTTCTTGTGTCTTTGTGTAAATTATATATCTCTCTTGTAGTATTTTGGCTATGAGATGATAGCTATGGTTCGATTTTAAGTAGGGTTTATGTTAGAAATATTATTATTAGGGTTTTCAAATATTAATTATGCTAAGATAATTATTATTATGGTTAGTAGTCTTTGAGTCAGATTAGTATAGTTTATTGAGGAATTTTAGAATGCTATATAGTATTGGTGCTATAGGTTTTTGTCTTTATGGTACAGATTGAAATTGTACCTTTAACGTTATGGTACAATTTCATATTGTACCTATACTTTTTGTACAAATTCTTTTATGGTACAACTTAAACTTGTACATTTATGTGAGGGTACAACTTCAAGTTGTAAAGTTGTACCATAACATAATGATACAAATTCCTTTATGGTACAACCTAAACTTATACATTTAATGTTATGGTACAACTTCAAGTTGTACATTAAAGCACCAATACTATATAGCATAGTAGTAGTGTTCTAGTTTATTATGTTTTTCCAGTCTTTAGCTATAAATATGTAGTTTGGGTCTTTTGTTGGATTAAGCAGAAATCAGTAAAGAATTATTTTCTCAAACCCTAAGCTCTTCCTATCTCCTAATTTCTCTCCTTTCCTAATTCGAAGGATTCGGCCGATTCTTATTATGTTCTATCCTCCCAAAATCCCAATCCCTGATTCCATTTGTATAGAACCTAATCCCCAAATATCAAACCCGATAGGAACTTTGTTTCTATCAATTGGTATCAGAGTCTGATTGCGAATATGAGTTCATCACAACTCTCACTCAGGGACCGTTTCGCGTTGCGTGAGTCCTGTCAAAAAATCCTTAAGTCCTATGACCGAATGCTAGCCATCTTGGACAAACAAGAGGCAAACTATAGGAGATGGATGACAGAACTCGAAGCCAAGCTCAATCGAGTCACGATCCAGCGACGCACGATCAACAACCGTCCAGGATTGGCACCGATTGGTTCATCAACACCGGTCGCAGTCGAAGAAACTCTCACTGCTATGGAGCCATTGCCCACGCCACCAATAGCCACCATCACAATGACCAATGCGCCATCTGCGGCTGCAAAGGGAGGAGCCACCGCTATGAAGACTGAGAAGGAAGGAGATAGCGCAAGCAAAAACCGACGACTCATATCATATCCGGGTCGTCAGGATTCTTCACCGGCAGCGCGGCCGCGAGTATTGGGGGCGCCGACTGCTGGAGGGATAAGGCCAGAGCCGGGGGGCTGTCATCTCGCTTGTCGCGCCGTCACAGATGAAGCCAGAGATAGAGTTTAGGGCAATGGAGGAAGCTGGCTCGCCTCCTAACCGACGCCGGGAGGTCTGCTGGGGACCGTAAAAAGGAAAGATGATGGAGGGCGGCGAGGTTCTTCCCGCAACCCCTAAGTCATCTAGGGTGGGCTGCACCTAGGGTGGGCTGCACCGAACAGTAGAGGGGAGCGCTGTTGGTTCGAGTTTCATGGGCCGGACTGGATTTGGGCCGACGAAAGCTATTGATAAGGCTGCAGTTTGTGACAAATGGGGGCTATGGCCTGACTACTTGGGAGGTCTGCTGGGGACCGTAAAAAGGAAAGATGATGGAGGGCGGCGAGGTTCTTCCCGCAACCCCTAAGTCATCTAGGGTGGGCTGCACCGAACAGTAGAGGGGAGCGCTGTTGGTTCGAGTTTCATGGGCCGGACTGGATTTGGGCCGACGAAAGCTATTGATAAGGCTGCAGTTTGTGACAAATGGGGGCTATGGCCTGACTACTTGTCAGCCAGGAAAGAGACCTGATGGGTGAGGGAGAAAATGGGTTGCATTCTGTAAAAGGGTTTGGGCCACAAATGAGTGGCCTGTCTAGAGCTCCTTTGTATGGGGGTGGACTCAGGAAAAAAAAGGGGATGGTTTTATGGGCTTAGCTGATAATCTTGAGAAACAAGCATGTGCCGAAGCAAAAAGCCCAATCGAAGATATGAAGCATGATTGGAAGAAAAGGAAGCGCCAAAGCGGCGGGGTCTATCTCAAGTGTAGAGGATTGGACTTGCCTACAACCTTGAGGGCAAGGTTGTTCTCAAGCGGTGGGGAATGTTAGGAATACTATTATTAGGGTTTTCAATTATTAATTATGCTAAGATTATTATTATTATGGTTAGTAGTCTTTGAGTAAGATTAGTATAGTCTATTAGGTTTTTCCATTCTTTAGCTATAAATATGTAATTGGGTCTTTTGTTGGATTGAGCATAAATCAGTAAAAAATTATACTCTCAAACCCTAAGCTCTTCCTATCTCCTTATTTCTCTCATTTCCTAATTCGAAGGCTTCGACCGATTCTTATTCTGTTCCTTCCTCCCCAAATCCCAATTCCTAATTCCGCTCGTATAAACCCTAATCTCCAAATATCAAACCAGATAGGAACTTTGTTTCTATCCGTTTAACATTTCATAATTAAAAAGCAGATCATACAGATTAAGATTCTAACTTTCGTACTGTTAAAAAAGGGCATATGGATTTAGAGCCTGAAAGTGGACGGATGATAGTCATGTAATAATTTTAAAATAACCTATAAAACAAACCTTGCTTTGTAGAGATAGTTTTGAATTTAAGTAGCCTTTCTCCTTTATATTGCTATCTATGAATTCTCTCTTTCTAGCCTTTGCTATTTTTCTATTTTTCGTGTTTTTTCAGTTATAGTCTACTTTATAGCTGTAGTTTCAAGACAAGATCAAAATGCAGTTTCATAGCCATCCCGCTTATGCTTACTTGTGTGGAAAACGGAATGTTAAAGGAAACCAAATCAAAGGAATATATATATATATATATCCTCCAATAATATATAGTACACTTTTGTGTACTTTTCTCCATTTCAAATTTCGTGCAATGAGAGTGAAAGTAGGAAGGATATTTTTGTCTTTACAATTAATTATTTATCTCACATAAAAAATATCAACATTAGGATTTGAACTCGGGTCTCTTCAAACAAAGACAACAATCACAACCATTTACACGGAACAAATTTGTTGTGTCTTTTTGAATACAAAATATACACGAAGTTCAACTCTCTGAAAATCGCAGTACTTTCCATCATGATTAGCAAGCCCACTAAGTATACCGTATGTATTTTTATGGTGCTTGATACTTCAATTTTCATTGTAGAGTTTCATGTACTTTCTCAATTTTAAAATTATTTCTCTCTCTTTAATTTTTGCTAAAGGTAAATTGGTAATTGGCTAACATGGAAAAAACTAATTTTGTCACTACGTGTTGTGTCCTTGCAATTTTCAATTTAAATTTTGTGGTTTTTATTTTTGTTCTTATCTCTTTCTAACTTCCTCAAAAATTCCCTCCATCGTACAATAGTTTGCACCCCTTTCACTTCCCAGTACAAGGCCTCCTTTGAAAATCAATCATCTGGTATCTTTTGGCACGTCGGTTTTATTGTTGGGTTTTAAGTTGAGCAAGTAAAAGAGTTTAATAAATAATGGAGTTGCAGGAGGAGGATTAGAAATTGAAATTTTGGTTGAAATATATGTCTCTTGAGATAAAAATTTGGTTGTACAACGAAGAGTGGTGGCTATTGGATCTTTATATTTATGGTTTTTATATCTATCACAACCTATTTCTATCTTAAAAGGAGGAATCATTGATTGATTTATTGAAGTAGGTCGATTCTTTATTCAACCTACCGGAACTGATAAACCATGAGTGTTTAATTTTGTGTCTTATTATTTTGATTGAGTCTATTAGTATGTTGGAGATAACCCTAATTTTGTCGTTTGCTCTCAAGTTTTGATGGTCTCCTCTTAGCTGAGTTGTTAGTATATAGTTGACTTGAATCAGCAACTCTCCATTTCTTTTTTATTAGTGGCATATTGTTCATAAAAGGAGCGCATTAAAAACTTATGTAGGATTGTGAGGTTTAAGATTTAGTTTCAAACTATCTATGAGTCATGTGGAATTTCACTGAGCTTTTATACTCTCTTTCTTGACAATCAACTAATCAATAGCATTTTAATAAGAGCTTAATTATCATTATGAAAATGGAATTATTGATAAATTATATTTTTTTTTCTTAAATGATATGGTATTTCTCCGAATGTTAGACCTATATATTCTTTCTTTATGTATCATTTCGATCGAAGAATTGTCAATAAAATTTAACCAGTTGATTAGCTTAAACGTAACATAAAATATAAATGATTAAATATGAATATTCCGGCCAATGGGCCGAGTTATAAGCTAGTATATAATAATAATAGAGTTTTATGAGATTTTCAAGATTCAAAAAATACTGCCTTCCCCTTAATTTTCGGTAAGGGTATATTAGACATATTCATCTATTAAATCCCGCCCACAATATACGTTGCATTTCTTTTCTGCCGGCAACTAATATTCGTTGGGCCCAATTAGAAAGCCCAACAATTGCTTATGTGATAATTATTTATTATGAAAAAAATAGGAAGTAAAATAAATGCTAGTACAAAATAGCAAAACAAATCTTCTCTCAATTCTTTTCATCCGACACTAGCATTAGGGCCGGCCAGTTGGCCGGTGGAGCATAAAATCGGTAAGTGCACTATGTTGTACTATATTGGTCAATGGTCATTGAACATTGCTTTATTGGTGGTCTAGGATGCAGTGGGAAGGCGTATTTGAGGCGTTGATTTTTTCCAGTTTGCACTCTCCTTTTGGTTTGTTGGTCTTTCATTCCGCTTGATAAAAAAAAAAGATTCAAGCAATACGACTCAAGCAATTTGAATTCTCAACTTCAACCATTCCATCAGTAAGAACATCTACATTGGTTTTGCATTTTCATTGTAAAATCACGTGGCATGGGTTTGCAATTGCAAAACCAATTGCATTGATGTGACTACCCATTAAATATTTGCAAGCTTGCAATTACATATGAAAACCAAAATGGCCTAAAGAACTGAAAATTTTTTCTTCTTTATTTTTACTAATTCAAAGATAATGTTTAATTACTTGTGCAATTGCAAGTGAATTGTATTGATGTATTTACAATGACATTAATATAAGTTGGATTGCAAAATTCTCTATCTGGTAATAGAACTATGTATGCAATTGAATTGATATGGATGATCTAAGCAAAAAATATTTATTATGTTGAATGGTTTACCCAACACAATGCTTCCGCAATTTACCTGCAAATTTTATTTAATTTTGTTGGAATATTGAAACATTTCAACACAATGTAGTAACGATTTGCTTGCTAATTATATCTACTCTTACTAAATAATGTAGAAGTTCTCATATCCGCAAGCAGAGTAATAAGGTTCGAATAAAATTCTACTCGGATTTCAGGACATTTATCAAATATTTCATAAATAATTCTCATGAATTAAACCTTTCAAGTCTAATCCATCCACTAATATATCCAATTAATTCAATCAACTTTATTCAAATTAAATTCATTGGATTGGTGGAATATGAATATTTGAGAATTTATAGTCTAGTATCTATATTTTTTACAATTTACTTTTTGATACGTAAATTTATTTTTTAACATGAAATATCATTATTAATTTTGGTGCATGAAGTTTCTTATAATGACATTTTAGTACCTAAAATTTCTAAAATTTATGTATTGATCCAATATTTAGATGTCACTTGACCAATCAACCAATCAATTTAATCAAATTCATTTGATCTAATCCATATGATCCATGAATTCACCAATTCATGAATCCACCGATCTATCAACCCAATTCATTTTTCACCTTACACGCCGAGAGACTTTCAAGTTAAAATTGTCATACGCCAAACAACTAACTAAAATGGGAGATTATGTGTGAAATGAGGGATTTGTTGGGAAAGAAGGATAAGTCAGAAGTTAAAGTTGCTTCTTTATACTTACTCTTCCCCTCGTTAATATCGGCTTCAAAGTAGCACCAGTTTATGTTCTCCCTAACATTGATGCAACGTTGACACATGATTCATTGCCACTGCAGCAACAAACTTCTATGACGACTGTGAACTATTTCAATTAGATGTAGCTTAAGCCATCTCTGCCAATGAGATGAGTTGTGAGGGAAGCCCCCACAGGACAACCCCAACTATTCTATTCGGGTTAGCAAGTGTCATTTGTTAACTAACCAAAAATTCAAATGGCATTATGCAGCAAACTCGAGCTCCCAATTGCATAATTAACTATAATCAAACATCTAATACATTTAATACATTTAACTTTTCAAAGGCACATCTAAGAAAAACACCAAGTTTAATAAAGCTAAATAAAGAACAGTTCAAATGTTAAGACAAATAAAACCAAATCTTATAAACCATTCTACATGAAACCAACAAACTACTACACGTGCACCATTCTGCTCAGCACCGTCATATTTTTCTCCAATTTTATAGAAGTCCCAAATACCGCTTTATGTCAATATTGCCGCTAACTTGCCTGTTTATAGCATAAAATCTGTAACTAATGGTAGCTTGTACTTAAGTGGAAGTAACAAACTTGAATAGCAGCTACAAAAGAGCACTATGACCTGATAAAAAACAACAATTCTAATCTTCACTTATGTGAAACACAATAGTTACCAATAAATACTTGCTTGAAATGAATCATGTTGATGACAAAATTATACAGATGAAATAAATACTTGCTTGAGATTGAAACTTAAAAGTAAAAATGCAAAAAAGAGAAGGATTTCGAATTTACAGCAAAGCCCCTCCGCAGTGTGCGGCGGTTTCAGCAGATGCTAATGTGGCAAAAGCTGTATTTTAACATTGGCTTATAGTATTTTGTAGATAATTTTATTTTATTTTTTACTAAAATTGATACCGCTTTTTCCATTAATGAAATTATATTTGTTTGTTTAATGGTTTTTCCGAATTTTAGTAAGTTTTTATGGATACTAACTAAAGATTAAGTTTAACAGAAAAAGG